ATATATATATGCGTGTGTGTGTGTGTGTGTGTGTGTGTGTGTGTGTGTGTGTTTAAGTAGGTTAAGAACCACTGCTTTAGACATTTTCACTGACAGGTGAACTTCAACAATTACAAAGGCATTATATCATTTGGAAATGTTAACAGGAACCACTGGAAGCTTCTGGTAAGTTTAGTTAATGTGTAAAAGACACATCAAGGATGCATTCCTTTTCAAACCTGTCATTATTGTTTTTTTTTTTTAATATTGAATATTGAGAATGCTCTAGTTAGTAAGTATAGCACCGAGTAACACTGCAGCAGCGCATTTCAACATTGCTGCCAAAATATTCTGGTATTTGTACTTCCATTAATTCACCACTTCATTATCTTTACCTGTGGTGTGCTCCGCGACCACATTCAAAGTCCCTCGTGTTCCTCGTCGGTCTTTTATTGTTTACATATGCAAAATACAAGAAAGACACGATGCAAATATCGGGGGCAGTGATTAACTTTTGTCAAGTTTTGAACCACAGATACCGGTACTTTAACACCGTCTCTCACGAATAAACAAGTCGCAGACTTCGCAGATGACAAATGGTCGCCTGGGCCACGACCAGTTCCCAGACAGTCTCTTGATGTTCTAAAACACTTCGTTCCTAAACTGTTTACCGAGTGTAGCCTCCTTCTATCTGTTCGCACTCTTGCGGTAATGTGATTCAAGAGCTCTCCGTCCGGACAGCCCAACACCCTAGCGCAGACATTTGGGGGCGCTAAATACACAACCCATCTAGACAGGCCCAAATTAAATGGAACTTTAAACATGATATAATTTTGTTCGTAGATTCCTCTAACATCCTGACATATCTTAGTCTGTACCCAAACCTAATTGCCCCACTTGCATTTCAGATGTGAATACCTTCTCATCAACAGAGATTTCTCCTTAAGTTATCCAATGTATGTAAAACTAATGTGAATAATTTGCACAGTGTGAACGTTTTTATTCTTGTGAGCTTTATCAAATACATGTACAGTGAATACCTAATAATGAGCAGAACCAGAATCAGAGTGTGTGGGCAAACAAATGGTAAGGAGAATGTCTGAGCCATCCCACCCAGCAGGATGCCAATAGCTGTGCCTTTCTTTTATTTTACTTGGTCAGAGATATTTACTTTTCGATTACCGTAAATATTGGATGGCCACTGGTTATTATTGATATGTGGCTACATTATGTGTTTCATGCAAGACTGACAGAACCCTTTCTACGATGGAACTTTCCTGTAGGACTGAGAGCCTCCACAAGCATTTCATGCAAAAAATAAACTGTTTACACTTTATGCAGCCTTGTATAAGTTGTGTTTTTAAATTGTTCACCCTGAACGATTTTGTCACTCACACCACACAAGAAAAGCTGTTTGTGTTTCAGATGGCAATGGAACTGATGAAGACCTTCCCAGACATTCCTTAAAAAATAAATTTTGTGTTTAATACCAGGGATTAATTCTGAATGGCATTAGTAATGCCGTTATTTCATGCACTGCACCACAGTGTAATACTTTAAGGGGGAGAAAGCTCTCTGATTCGTTAAAAAAAAAAAAAAAAAAAATGGTGCGCTGGTATATTTAAAGAAAATGTCAGAACTAAATTTCAACAGCATATTTATAGGACTGTGAATTAGATTTAATGAACACAAACAGATATTTCTTTATCTTGTAGTATTTGATTCCTCCATGATTTGTGGCATGTGCTCAATGGCCAAACAACCTGGAACAGGTCCTTCTGTGACAAAATGCACATTATAAGGACACACGATTGACTTATTCTTGGTAATATATTATATTATAACCACTATGGTTTGCATCTGCCACTGAAATTAGATTACTTCAAGTTAAAGAAAAAAATTGTCTAGTGTTAAATTTTAAAAACAACTTATCGAGTTACCCTTACCCAATACATAAATTTGCAGTCAATTAGTTTATCATGCTCTGTGTTTGAATTTTTCCTTTGAATAGATCCACTGCAACAAATGTGAAAGATGGTACCATGAGCACTACTTAATAAGAATGAACTTTGAGAGTGAATTAAAACTGGTCTTGCTGTTTAATATGTCAACTGTGAATTTACATCAGACTGTTGGACGTTATCACAATTAAGAATTAAACGGCCTACTGTTTCATTTGAGTTGATCCATGGTCAAAATTCCGTCAACGACTGTGCATGTCTCTGAGAATATGTATATCTACATCTATCGATCGATCGATTGATAGATAGATCATTCTCTGAAAGTGATTTTGTAAAACACACCCACTCCAAAAAATACAAATGTATACCTCATGTGTCTTTTAAAACACATGTCTCACTGCATGTGTGATGTGATGATCACAGGAAGTAATTGTTAAACCATTGGTTTTCAAAAGGCTTATCCTCTTTCGTATGCTGGAGTCAATCTCGCTTTCTTGGAGCAAATCGAGTGGTACATCTTGGACTATGGGCCAGCAAATTACAAAAAATGTGTTTGTCAGTAAATTACTGTACCTTCCATCCATCCATGATCTAAAATACTTACCCTTACAAGGGTTCCAGGCATGCCGGAGCCTATCCCAGCTGTCTTTCGATAGCATTCCATCTAAAGGCGCCGGCGGAAGCAGGTTTTCGTCCATCACTGGAATCTTGATGAACCACGTCAGTATAATCGCTAGACAATCAGGTGACAATTAAACAGTTTAAAAAAAAAAAAAAAAAAAGGAAAATCATCGGTACTGCCCTAGCCCCTTTCGAGGACTTGCATGAACCAAGACAAGGGCATAGAAAATCCTACTGGACCCCCACACCCTGCCCACCACCTCTTCCAGCTACTCCCCTTGGGAAAGCGCTATAGAACCATACGCACCAAAACCAGCAGACACTCAAACAGCGTCTTCCCTCTCGCCATTAAGTCCCTAAGCAGTAACCCACATCTAGAGTGGCTCTTTGCATTTTTGGGCACCGCTGTGGGACAGTATTACCACACTGATCACTGTAGCTGCAGCTCTTCACATACTTGAACAATTGTCATTGATCAATATTCCACAGCACCAGATACGTTAAAGTGCTCAAGGATTTTACGTATAATTGCACACCTAAAGTTGGACGACAAATACTGCTCCTGGTCACTTAAAAATGGTGCAACCATTATCTGCATCAACTGCACAACTGTCATAGTATTATTGTATTTCACCACTGATAACTTTATCTCTGCTCGATGACTCTGCACATTGTCGCACAGCTGTCAATTGGGTGGTACTACGGCACAATGGTACCCTTACCCTTGTCTTTCTGTGCTTATATGTCATGTCTACGTTAATCGTAGTTGCTTGCTATTGCAGTACTTGTCTCACTGATACTCCTGGAGACAAATTACTTGTGTGTTCTACATACTTGGCCTGTCAATATGATTCTGACTGAATCTGATCGTATTCTGACCTGAATTTTTGCAGTGTGACCAGTCTTATGAGAAATATAATTTGGTACATTTTTCCAGAACCTTATACTAAAGGGACACTGACCAATAGAAAAAATGACTTACTGTAGAGGAATTTATCCTTTACTGTGATTTACTACCCCCTTTGTAGGCTCTGTTCCAACTCTTGAGAGAAAGAATGTAGTATACTGTTTAAAGTGTCTCCTGCTAACTCTCATTCACTCTCTTTTATTGCCCCTATCACTACTACCTTTGTAAGGACTTTCCAGAGAACATCGAGTATCTATGTTGCTGGCACCACATGAAAGGCCAGATTGAAGTAGTTTGGGGATACTAGTCTGGTCTCACCTCACCACTCCCAACTTTTGCAGCCACACGGGATCAGATTGCATTTTGCTTACTTTGTTACTATTTTGCATGAGGAGATGGGACTGTCCGCCTCTCATTAACCTATTGTCTTTATAGATACTGTACTTGTGTCGGTGCGCTCTGAAGACATCCAAAGGATACATAGGCCTGAATCGATTCGTATTGTGTTGTGATAAAGTGAAGAATAGACGTCGTGGTGTTGGGTCTTTATTCCACATTACAGAGAAATAAAAGAACCCGTGTGCGACAGATCGGCAAACATTCTCTGCAGTTACACACTCTTTGTCATGTTCCGGTTTCGGCAGCAGGTGGCTGGCTGAGCATTCTTGCTGGCTGCACACCGGCTGCCAATCTGTCACTATTGCACCTTGTATATTAGGACCTACTTTCTGGCAATTGTTTGCCGTAGAATAGTATGCCTTTCCACTGCTCTTGCGCATGTGTGAATTATTCTCGTTCTCATCATAGTTGCTTTTGTTCTACATGTCGGATGTTTTTTGTGAGTACGGTTTTTGTTTATGATCATCTCGAGTTTATTTTCATCCTTGCCTCTCGTGCAAGCGCTTTTTGTTATCGGGTTTTTGTGTACTTTCCTGGTCCTTAATTTTGACCAACGATTTCTGTTTCCATTTCTTACGGTGCGATTTTTTGTACGGAGCTCTTGTTAGAGTCTGCTATTTTGGGGATCCAAAAAACCTGATTTGCTTCGAACGAAGCGTTACCTTCTCGCTTCGTTCGGAGCGTGACACTCTTGATCAGTGCCACAGAATGTACACCTGTACAACTCAACAAGGAAAGGCTTTTATGTGGTTTGCTTATGTCTCATGTGACATCACATACTCTGATTACTATTTTGACCTCTATTTATTTTGAATTGTATTTGAGGCATTTTTAAAAAAATTATTCATGCTACAATGTCTTTAAATAAATGCTTTCATTCTTTCCATGTCTATTGGTTTGTAATGACACTCGTCTATTTTGGTTGGTCAGGCATAAAAGGAAAAAAAGAGTGCTTCTCAGATCTGAGCAGTGAGTCCTCCAGACTCCTGCTGATTGTATTTTTTTGCAGCTCCACTAATCATGTGTCTCTTGCTTGAGTGTGCGATCGAACTTCTCTCTGTCTCTCCATCAGATATGGTCTTTTATTGTTTTTTTCATTAAGGCGGTGTGTGCTTCTGCTATCGCTCTTTGTAAGGATAAAGTTACCGGCATCAGCCTCATTCTTCCCGCTGCTACATATTTTTGACATGCCAGCACGATTAAATGTATAGTAATTGTATTTTAATGTTTACAAGTTGTTTTATCTTTCGTAGAGCATATACTGAGCAAATCAATCAATAGATTAAAAAAAATACCAGCCAAAGTCACAAGACACGAGTGAAATTGTAAATGGTATGAACTGCAGAGCCTTTACAGTGGATATAAAAAAAATGTCTCCAAACAGCTGACTAAATGCCAGGTTTTTGTGTTATAAGAAAATGAGACCAAGATGAATAATTTCAAAACTGTAAAACTTAAATGTGGGGAAAAAAAGGAATTGTTACAGAGCAGGAGTAAAAATAAACTACTGATATAGAGTGATTGCACAAGTGTGTACACCCTTGGCTGCGTATCGAATTAAAGATGTCAAAGTGGTCCTTGGAAGGAAAAGTTTGGACACTCTCGGTTGGAATTAAAAAGCTAACTAATTATTTTTGGATGAAATTGACTATATATAAATCAGGATGTATCGTATATTCTACATACCGTATTTTCCGCACTATAAGGCGCACCGAAAAGTCTTCCATGTTCTTAAAAGCTTCCGGTGCGCCTTGTGTATGGTCATTACGGTAATATATATAACTTGCTGTTGGTTCAGTGAACTGTGTCGCTGCTTTATTAAATACGTTTTGTTGCAGCGCTGAAAAAAGGAGAGCTGTGGTGTTGTTTTTTAAAACGCACACTTTATTAACTCATTAAATCCCAGCCATTTTCACTGGCGCAACGCCCTCAATCCCAGGGTTTTACTGGATTTTGACTGATCTTGCAAGGCCCACAGAATATTTGGTTCTAATGCTATATAAACATGGAGCCTAACAACATAAAGTTTCTTTTCTTTCAGCAGAGAGTTTGTTTTTCCATTCTTCAGCAATCGGCATTACAAAATGGCTTCATGAAAATGGCGATTCCTGGGCAAAAAACGGAGAAAAAGAGCTTTTTTGTAAAAGCATGCATTTCAAGCACGTGAGGCACCACTGCCACCTACTGGTCGCTTTTTTACATGATTTACAATGCAAACGGTTTATTCTCATTCACAGATTGCATCAGACCCTCCTCCTCTGCATGATGCAAAAAAAAGACTTAGACGTACAAGTACGTCCTTGGTAGGCGGGGCCTAATAAGTACGTCTTGTGGAATTAAAGAGTTAATGGTTTTCACAGTCTCAACAAATACACGTACGTCTGTGTCTGTCTCTGTGCCTTCTCTTCTTCCTTTGACTCAAGAGGCGTTCATGACCACCTCCGAAAAATGTAAATTAACAATTACTTCAATGAAACTGCGAAAATTGAAAACAGTGCATCAAAACAGAAAATCAAGCGAGGAAATCACAAAATAAATTCTATAGCCCCCGACAGAATTTATTTTGTGATTTCGTTTGTGAATACAGTACACAACAAAGGAATAAATAAACACTTCTGAGACAGTCCAGTCTCCTCCCTTTTACTGACATCTGATCGTTCTGTTTGAGCTACGCTCAAGGAAATGCCAAAACAAATTCTGTTGGGGGGGGGCTATAGAATTTATTTTGTGATTTCCTTTGTTTTGATGCATTATTTTCAATTTTCGCAATTTCACTGAAGTACAGTCAAAACTCGGTTTTCGTCCATAATCCATTCCAGAAGGCTGTTCGAAAACCGAATTGTTCGAAAACCGAAACCACGCTCTTTTAAAATAAAACAAAAAAAACAATGTTTCTTGAACACGTCTGCTCACAATGGAAAGCGACACAAAGAAGCGTCACTTCTTCGTCTACCTGAGGAAGCATCACTTCCTCGTGTAAGGAAGGCGACAGGAGTCAAGTGGTGCATTCAAGTGCGCTCAGTTTGTTCGAGAACCGAAATGTGTTCGTCATCCGAGGCATGAAAAACTCGAAATTTTTGGTCGAAAACTGAATTGGTCGAGAACCGAGACGTTCGAAAACCGAGGTTTGACTGTATATGGTAATTTAAGTTTTTCGGAGGCGGTCATGAACGCCTCTCGAGTCAAACAGCTTCATCTAGTGGATTCATTGTAGATTGCGCCTTATAATCCAGTGCGTCCAATATATGAAAAAAATTACAAAATAGACCATTCATTGAAGGTCGCCTCATAATCAAATGCGCGTTTTAATGCGGAAAATACGGTATTTGAATTCAACAAACTTTAGTTTTTATGAATTTAACTATGAGGTTCTGACAGGGCTATTTTTTCACCAGAATTCATATTTTATGAACTTGAAGTTATCTGAATTAATTTTCTTTCACTAGAGTTTTATTTTTAAAAACCTAAACACATTTACACATGAATGTTCACAAATTAATCCCACTCAAGCATATGTAGAACAGTACGTTATACAGGACACAACAATTTGGTAACACAGTCCAGATTAGTAGCAGGTACAGCATGAACTCAAAAACCATTTTTGTTGAGGAACATTAGCTTACCTGCCTATTCAGGGAATGTGCCTGCAGCGTAGTCGACACATTCATGTTTGCAGCAGATGAGTACGCTTGCTTAGTATATAAAACATTCTGAACACTAAAGTTAGCTGGTGATTTGAGTTCACTCACCATTTAGTTGTAAGACAAGAGGTGTATTTCGTTTGAATCATCCGATTATAACTTCCATGAAGTAAAGCGTGCTGTTGGCTGAGGCTCGAAGGTCATCCAACTCAGGGCCCTCTGCTCAGTTCTCCATGTCATGCAACCTCATTTGCACAATCTAATCATGTTGCAAATGTTGCACTCTCAATACTCAATGCCCAACCTCTTCAGAGGCACTTTAAATGGTGGCTGTTGAGTGCTGACTCACATTTAAAAGGAGTTTGGTTTATTCCAAACGCAGCCACTTCCCTCGTTGAAAATTGTTTGTTGAGCAAGTGAATTTCAACAAGTAAAATAATTTGGAATAAATACATGCATTCATACACACACACACACACACACACACACACACACACACACACACACACACACAAACACACACACACACAACAGAACCTCGTGGGAACTAACGAAAGGCATTTATTTGTGAAAAAAAATAACACAGAACATTAATCAAATTTGGACAGAGACGGTTTCCGCCTGACGGTGACAAAATCACTTATCTGTTCTTACCCCTGTAAAACCAGTTTTATTTTTCAATTGAGTTATATAGGTGAAAGCTGATAAATTGAAAATGTCTTCAAATGATTTATCGTTGTCTTTTTTTTTTTTTTAATATCACAAAAGCCTGGTAGGAAAAAGAGGGGTGAGTTGATTTTTTTTTTTTCGTTTCTACTGCATGAAGTGCATTTCAAAAAAGAAATAATGCCATTTGGGTTCTGTAATGAGATAATCTTGTGAGCCTTGGAGGCACTCATAAAGACCTAGAATTCAACATTCATAAAGTGTGGTTCTTTCTTGGCTCTCTCATAGGCATGGCTGTGTACTGCTCGGAACGATGTTATACCATATTCATAAAACAGACATTAAACCGGGTCAGGGGTGAAAAAAGTTGAGAAGTATACGACCCCTCCAGGGCCCT